CAGATGCTGATTACAAGAACAAGGAGAGAGAAAGAAACAACAATATAATGAAAAATCTTAGGTCAGATGCTGACTTCAAGAACAAGGAGAGAGAGAGAAACAGCAATATAATGAAAAATCTTAGGTCAGATGCTGACTTTAAGAACAAGGAACGAGAAAGAAACATCAATATAATGAAAAATCTTAGATCAGATGCTGATTACAAGAACAAGGAGAGAGAAAGAAACAGCAATATAATGAAAAAACTTAGATCAAACAATGACTATAAAGACACTGAGAGAAAGAGAAACAGCAATTTAATGCAAAAGCTTAGATCAGATGAAGATTTTAGAACCAAAGAAAGAGAGAACGAGAAGCTAAATAAAGCTGTAAAAAGGAACAATGAAATTTTAAAATATCGAGAAAGAGTTCAGAATCAGCTTCGTAGGAGTGGGTCACAAGAAGCTAAGTTAAAATTAGATGTAATTAAATTAAGAAGTTACCGTCCAGAGTTTGTTTGTACTTTCTGCGAAGGATTGTTCTTCTTACATTCTATAAATTCTTTTAAAATCTCAGATTTCAGTAACCTTCCTAACATTGATACCTCTATATTTAGCGAATGTAAATGGATTTGTCACACATGTAATAAATATATCAAAAAAGGAAAAGTTCCGCCACTTTCAGTTTCAAATGGTCTAAAATTCCCACATGTTCCAGAGTGCCTAACTAGTTTGTCTGATCTAGAAGAAAGAATGGTTGCACCTTATATCAATTTTATGCAAATCAGACCTTTACAAACACATGCATTAAATTCCCAGCTTGGAATTAAAGGATCAGTTATCAATGTACCAATTGAAATTAATGATATGGTTCAAAAACTGCCTCGCAATTTTGTAAATATGAATACAATACAAATCAAGCTAAAAAGACATATAACACACGCTTCAGATTATATGTATGAAACTATTCGGCCTTCTGCAGTTTGCCAAGCATTGTCATACTTAAAGGACACTCCACTATATCAAAAGTACAATATAATAATTGATGATACTTTTTTTCAACAATACTCAACAAATTCTGATGAAAATTTAAATTTCATTGTTGATTCTAACGATGAGGCACAAGTAACATCCACTGCAATCAATTTGGAAAATGAAGAGTTCTGTGAGGAAGACAATGAAGAAGTGCTAATCATTGATAGAAATTTAGAAACATCCCTTAGTAGTGTTGAGGTCATTGCACCAGGCCAGGATAAACAACCAGTGCCATGGCACATTCAGCCAGACATTGAAGAACTGTCGTTCCCTAAAATTTATGGTGGATTCCCAATGGATATAAAAGGGAAAATATCTTATGCAGACAGAGCAAAATCTGAAGCAAGGCGTTCTGATAGAAGAAGCTGTACTCCTACTAAATTGTTATACATGGCAAAAAAGAAACTAGAGTTGAGCTGTGTTTCTAATATAAACGTTTGCTTGAGAAAGAAAAAAATCAAATCTAGTATAACTGTCACCGATGCATTAAATGATTTTTTTGTCAACAGTTTGATTAATCATGATGATGGTTTTAGAGTATTGAACCAGGTGAGATCATCTCCAGCCTATTGGGAGAACAAAAAGAAAAACTTATTTTCCATGATAAGACAGTTAGGTAAACCCACATTATTTATTACACTCTCATCTGCTGAAAAGTTCTGGCCAGAATTAATTCAACTTTTGGCAAAATTGCTACAAAATAAAACAATTAGCATTGAAGAAGCTTTGTCGCTGTCTGATAATGATAAAACTCTATTAATTCGTAATGACCCAATAACCTGTGCTCGATATTTTGATCAAAAAGTTTCAAAATTGATGAAATACATAAAAGAGAAAGATTTTGGCCCTTTTGGCAAACACACTGTTATTGACAGTTATGAACGAGTAGAATTTCAAATGAGAGGCTCACCACATGAGCATATATTTTTATGGCTTGAAGATCCACCAAACCAAGATAATATAGAGGGAAATAATATAGACACGTGCATACAGTTTATAGATAAGTATATCACATGCGAATACCAGGAGGACAACCCATATATGTCTTTTATAAAACATCGCCATACTCACACATGCTACAAAGGGATGAAAAATAAAAATAAATGCCGTTTTAACTTTCCAATTCCAATGATGCCATTTACAACAATACTTTCTCCCCTAGACAAAGAAATACAGACTGATGACATGAAATTAAACTATAAAAAAATTAAAAATTTCATGCATTTACTGTTCATGAAACCAAAAGATATTACATTTGATGAAATGTTGCAAGAATTGGACTTAACTCAAAACACCTATATTGATGCCCTAAAAAGCTCTTTGTCAAGACCTCAAGTGTTTTTAAAAAGAGGAAGCCTTGAAGTTGGAATAAATTCATATAATAAAGATATTTTAAACATATTTGAGGCTAATATTGATGTTCAACTAGTAGTTGAAGAATATGGCCTTGCATCATACATAGTAAATTATATTAGCAAAATTGATTCTGGGATGGTATCTCTACTCAGAGAAGCAGCTACTGACATTAGCCAAGGCATTGGTAACTCAAGAGAAAAGTTGAAAAAAATTGCCAACACATTTTTAAACAGTAATCTCATGTCATCGCAAGAAGCAGCATATCATGTTTTGTCATTGCCTTTAAGCAAATCGAGTAGGAGCACAGTTTTCATCAATACTAGTAGAATAAATGATAGAGTAATGATGCTAAAGCCTAAAGATATTTTACAAAATATTGATAATAATTCCTCTGACATTTTCATGGAAAATATCTTTCAAAAATATGCAAAACGGTCTAAAGCTTGTGAAAATATTTGTCTAGCCGATTTCGCTTCAAAATACTCATTTAGTAGAAATAAAATTGAAGAAGTTAATGATGACGCTGACGAAAATAGCACTATGCCTACTGAAAGAAATAAGAAAAGGATAATAAGGTATCGAAATTTTAAAATTTTAGCCGATCCACAAGAATACTACAGAGAACAGATTCTTCTTTTTTTTCCCTGGCGGAATGAACTAGAAGAAATTGAAACCGTTGATTGTAAAGAGAAGTTCATGCAACACCAAGAGGTCATCAAAGAAAATGCTAAGCCTTACTGCTCCATGCCTGATCATGTTTTAGAGGAAGCTGTCAACACGGTACAGAATGAAGTGAAACATGTTGAAGAAGAGGAAGTTGAAGGGTTTGTGAATGATGAGCTGCCTAAACATTACAAGGTCAATGTTATGGATCAAGGTGGGTTAACAAAACAAAATGTGGAATTCAACCGTTACTCTACTCCTCAAAAAGTTTCCTTAGCACAAGTTAATACAATGTTACAAAATTTAAATGCAAAACAATCAACTTTTGTTAAACACATTTATAGACTCTGCAAATCTAACACTTTACCTTTCTATATATTTCTCAGTGGATCTGCTGGTGTTGGAAAATCCACAGTCATAAATGCCTTATTTCAACTTTTAACACATTATTTTGACAATTTACCTGGCTCGAATCCAAATTCAATTAAGGTTTTACTTTCTGCTCCATCTGGAAAGGCGGCATTTTTAATAAGAGGTGTAACACTACATACAGCATTTGCTTTGCCAGTATCACAATTTGGAGGGCAAATGCCTGAATTGGCTAGCGACACTGCAAATACCATAAGAGAAAAACTAAACGACCTAAAATGTTTGATAATCGACGAAATTTCCATGGTAGGTAGCACTCTTCTCAGCCGGGTTGACACCAGGTTGCGACAAATAACAGGTCGAAATGAAATGTTTGGCGGGATATCGGTAATAGTTGTGGGTGACCTGAATCAACTTCCACCTGTGATGGATTCTTTGGTTTTTCTACCTCCCAAAAACAATGATTTAAATTTACTTTGTGGTATCAACCCTATTTGGGAGGTATTTAAATTTTATGAATTAACTGAAATCATGAGACAAAAAAATGAAAAAGCATTCATTATCGCCCTTAACAACCTAGTTCTTGGAAAAATGACAAATGATGACCTAAATCTATTCAAAAGTCGAGAAGTAAAGGAGATTGATGTCCCGAAAGATGTAATAAGACTTTATTATGAAAATTCAAGTGTAGAAGAATACAATAACTTAAAAATTATTACATCAGTAGGTAAAGAACTTAAGTCAGAAGCTACGGATATGGTGATTGGTAAAGTTACCGATAAAATTAAAGCAAAAGCCCTAGACTGTATTAAAAAGAAAAAAATTACGGAAACTGGTGGGTTGCCAACATCATTGCGTTTAAAAACAGGCATAAAATATATGATAACCACAAATATAGATGTAGAAGATGGTCTTGTTAATGGTACTTGTGGAATTTTGAAGAAAATAACATTCACAAATAAATCTCATGTTGACAAATTATGGTTTTCTTTCATGCCAGACACAACTGTGGGCTGCAATACACGAACTCCATTTTTAAATTACATGGCAACTGAAGACATCGATCCTAGTCTTGTCCCAATATCAAAAAGAACATTTACATTAAACATTGCAACCCAAAATCATTATCAAATAATTAGGCAACAGTTTCCATTAACCCCTGCTGAAGCACTAACAATACATAAGAGTCAAGGACAGACTTTCGATAGTGTCTGCATAGATTTTAATAAAAAAAATAGATTGAATAGACACCTATTGTATGTTGCTCTTAGTAGAGTCACTAAAATATCTGGTTTATATATACTTGGCACATTCAAGGCTCCACTGCCTCCTCCACCAAATGATCCTACAATGGTTGAGTTAGATAATTTAAGGCAAAACAAACAGCTTGCCATTCTTACTGATGAGGAGTGTCATTCGAATGAAAAAGTTTACGTGTTTGTATAGACTTCTTATTCAGAAATCAAACAGAATTTGAATTGAAAGGAAATGCTTCTACTTACTCACAAATTAACAGCATACAGAAGAAGACATAACAGAAATATGGAAAAACAAATTTATAAATATTAAATCACATTATAATCATATGGACTTAAGAGACTAATTTAATAGTGCACTGATGATCCACAACCTGAAACTTTTTTTTTTTAAGAAATCATCTAAGCTACAGCAAGTAAGTTTAATGACTAGTATTTTTAAATTCTATTATTTTATATTATGTTTTTATTTTATTTTATAACATGGTTTTAGTTTCTAAAATTGTTGTAATGTTATTCCTATTGATTATTTTGACAATACTTGAGCCAATTGAGTTGTCTTAACCCATATTTTTTTATTATTTAAGAAGTGTACAAAATCAAGAACTGTAGATATATGCCTATATTTCTCAGCCAAAAAGAAAAACAATTCATTACTATATATTTAATTAGTGGCTTGAAGTAACATAGGTCTATTGTGCCTACTCCATTATATATATATGACTATTCATTTTTTACAATCTTTAATAGTTTTTTTTATTGAACACTATGAACACTAACTTTTATTAAATTTACAAAGATTCTTTCTTAGATATTCTGTTTGCAGATTACCTATCCTAATTGAAACAAAACCAAGACTTTGAAGAAACCCTTGAACTTACAGATACAGTATTCAATTCCTTCTACCAGTCTTATACCATACTCTTCCTGCCTAATTCTCCTAAATTTCCTGCCATATCCATAGGTAATTATCAAATTACTATCTGATATCCACAGGCTTAATACTTATCTTAACCAATCAATAGGTGTTATACACGGCGCTCCCAGTGGTGAGCGCCAGAACCAATGGTAACCACAGCACGGCTAACAGTCTATATTCAATTTTATTTGTCTATGATGGAACTGTCCAATAATATCAAAATGTTTGATTCAAATATTTAACTCTGTGTCTATAAAAGTGATTCAATATTTTTGATATAACAGACAATAAATACTAAAATGATATAATTACATGTTATAAAAAGCAATCTTCTATTCAGTTTTTACAATTTATAAATTTGTACTGTGCATTATGAACACTTGTATTTACAAAAAATATTTTTCTAAGATACTCTGATTGCAGAATACATATCCCGATCCAAACAAAAAGAAGACTTTTAAGAAAACCTCGATTTAGAGATATCAAACAATTCTTTCAACCAGTCCTGCACCTTGATCTGACAGCCTGAATTTAATATCTAAAGGTGTTTAATTTTTTCGTCCATCATATCATTAATTGAACTGACCAATAATATATTACCTGATTTACATATTAAACTATGAATAAAATATGATTCCATGCTTGTATATTTTTTATTGTTTTAATTCGCTTTTAAAATAGATTAATCTTTGGAGAATCCTTATAGCCTAGACTTTCTAACTCATAAAACAATAAAAAAGACTATAAAGCATACTTTTAATCTCACAGTATACTATATAGGTATTTACATTCACTTTGGTATTTAAATAAAAATATATTTTGAGGGGGTAAATAGCTCATGAGCGGCTGTTTGAGAATAAAAAAAATAGCATTGATCTTATGTAGGGCAAATCTAAGATAGCCGAAAGGCTTCCCATGGACATGGACTTTCTTGGAAATACATCCAATACAACAAATAACATTTCTAATGTCACAGTATACTAAATTCTAGTGTACCTGTTGCTCGAATTCGAGCAATTATGAAGTATTACATCAATGCGTTAAATATTAAAACAAATAACAGTCATAATTCCCAATAACCTGGCTGTCATCTCTTATTCAATTCTTATTTTTGGTTAACCGGTCCAGTTACCCAGAATAAGGTGTTCAATTTTAATGCCAAAATAGTAGGACAACGTATGAATCAGTTTAATAATACAGTTTGATCTTCCCATGAAAACACATGAAAGAAATGGAAAGTCAACTACTTTAGGAAAAGGCCCAAACAATTTTTATAGACATTTTATACGTTTATAGTCCTTTAAATTCTGAACAAAATTGTCCTATTGCTGCAAAAGAAACGGTGATTTCCCCTATAAAATATCATTCTCACACCGCTTACTCACGATAAAGGTTATTGACAAGCTAATGGGAGAAAGTATGTGTCAGATTGCTGATACCATTTATTTATATAATATGTTTGCTGTTACTTGTTCTGTATTTAATTTAATTTATGTTGGTAACAGCTGACCATGTGTAAATAGTTAGGATTGTTTTTATAGTAATGAGAATTGTTGAATAAGTTATGTTTGAGTAAAAATGTTGTGTGTGTGTACTTCAGTAAAATAAAAGATAATTATTGTAACAGTAAAACCTTAGGTGTTAGTAATTTACTTTCACTTAAGTCAACAGGTTATGGGGCCCAGAAAAATTCATTAATTCAACCATAACTGTAAAAACAAGAAGTAATCTTCTAGTAAAACCCTAAGAGTTAAAGTTTAGTGAAGGTGAGTGAAAAAGTAAAAGTAAGACTAACAATGGCATCAGTAAAAGAAGATGATTTCGTAGAAAAACTCAAAGGAGTTGAAACTTTTCCATTGTGGAAATTTCAGATTAAAATAATTTTTCAATCCAGTGATTTGATGAGTATTGTTGATGGTTCTGAGAAACTTGAAGATATGGGCGATGGAAAGAAGAAGGCTGATTGGATTAAAAGAGATGCCAAGGCTCAGAAGTGTATAGTTAGTTCGGTACTTACGTATTAAACGGAGGCCACATTTTGTCAGCGCGCTGCGGCGGTTATGTTAGGTTGGGTTATCATAATAGAAAGTATAACTCGTCTGGTATCGATTCATAACGAAGCGAGGAAAGTCCTACACACATAATATTTACGATAACCCAACCTAACATAACCGCCGCAGCGCGCTGACAAAATGTGGCCTCCGTTTAATACGTAAGTACCGTTAGTTCTATTGAGAAGGGACCGATGTTACATATCATTAACTGTGAAAACTCAAGAGAAATGTTTTTGAAGCTGTGTAATATTTATGAAAGAGACTCAGAGCAGCAGAAGTACTCGTTATTACAAGAATTCTTTAACCTCAGGTATGAGCCTAATTCTGATATAAGTTCTCACATAAGTAGAATTGAAAACATAGCACACAGACTAAAAACTTTAAAACAAGATATTGATGAAAAAATGATAATATCAAAAATTCTTGTCAGTCTGCCAGATAGATTTAAGTATTTTGTAACTGCCTGGGAATCAATGCCCAATGAAGAAAAGACATTGGCAAATCTAACAGCGAGACTGTTAGCAGAAGAGTCAAGAAGTGAGTTAAGGGAGGTAAGCCTAGAGAAAAATCTTGCATTCCAAGTTGTTTGTCACAACTGTAAAATTCCAGGCCATAAAGCAAAATACTGCAAGAAACCTACACACAATTGGGCTAACTCTGATAATGAAAGGTGGTGTTTTAAATGCAATGCTGTTGGTCATCTAGCAAACACCTGTGGAAATGTAAAAAATTTTGTTAACAAGTTTGAAAAAAGAAATGTAAAGCCAAATTTATTTTGTAATATATGTAAAAAGTCAAATCATAATGAAAAAGATTGTTACTTTAGAAAAAGCCAGAACCTAAATGTCGCTAGTAAAACTGTGTCATTTTTGTCGTATGATGAAAATGTTCGGGCTAATAGTGGGACTGTAAACTTTGTATCTGAATGGGTTGTTGATTCAGGCACATCTTCACATATGACAAATTGTGAAGATTTGTTAAGTAATAAACAAAATATTTCTTCTGGAATATATGTTACTAAGAAAATCAAACCATGTTAGCTTCAACGAGTGGAACTGTAAAATCCAAAGAATGTATCCTGAATAATGTGCTGTATGTTCCTGAACTCAGTAAAAACTTGTTGTCTGTTTCTGCAATAACTAATAATGGTGGTGAGGTTACTTTCTCTGAAAATAAAGTTATGATAGGACTTAGAAAAACTGGAGATAAAGTGTTGGAAGGCTTAAAAAATTCAAATGGATTGTTCACAGTGAAGATTTTTGACATTAATAGTAATTTAAATGCTCAGTTAATAGAAAGAGAAACAAGTAAACCGGTAGTGGATGATAGTGTAATTTTGTGGCATAGAAGAATGGGACATATTAGTTTTGATAGTTTAAATAAACTCATTTCTATGTCAGAAGGTATAAAATTGTCTGGCCAATGTTTGAAGACCTGTGATAGAAGAACGACTTGTGAAGTCTGTTTGAAGGCTAAACAGACAAGGTTACCTTTTAATACTGAAAGAACAAGAGCAACAAGACCACTAGAAATAATTCACACTGATGTATGTGGACCAGTAGAACCAAGTACTCATGATGGTAAAAGATATTTTATCACATTTATTGATGATTACACAAACTTTACTATGGTAGCCTATATCTTTTAAAAGGCAAGTATGAAGTGTTTGATGCAGTAAAACAATATTTTGCAGAAGTAGAGGCTAAATGGAACTTAAAAATTCACAAGATCCGATGTGACAATGGTGGAGAATATATTTCGAAGCATCTCCAAGATTTGTGTAAAACAAAGGGTATAGTGTTAGACTACACTGTTCCTTATTCGCCACAGCTAAATGGCAAAGCTGAGAGGATGAACCGAACTCTTTTAGAAAAAACAAGAGCACTGCTGTTTGATTCAGAATCAAGTAAAGAGCTATGGGGAGAAGCTATAAGAACAGCCGCATACATTGTAAACAGAAGTCCTTGTGAGTCAGTTGACACTACACCATGTGAAAAATGGTATGGCCAAAAACCAGATCTATCAAGGTTAAGAATTTTCGGCAGCAAAGTTTATGCTCGTATAACCAGGCCTAACTTAGGAAAGTTGGATATCAGAAATTAATCATTTATTTTTGTGGGATATGGTCTGAATGCGTATAGGATATGGGATGAACGCTCTAGGAAAATAAAAGTCTCAAGAGATGTGAAATTCGTTGAGTACAAAAGCAAGCATGTTGGCAAAGAACAGGAGAAAACTGCAATTATTGAAGACGATGACAGTCACGATGAGAATGACCAGAAAGGAGACAAAAATGAAAATGACAAGAAAGAAGACAAAAATGAAAATGACCAGAAAGAAGACGAAAATGAAAATGAAGATATTGAGAGTGCAGATAATCTAAGTGAGATAAATAATAATGAAGTAGAGTTTGAGTTGGTTTCAGACAAAAATGAAATCAATGAAGAACAGCCAAGTTCAAGTAATACTGATACTACACAAAGCATCAAACTAAGAAGAAAAACTAAACTACTTGAAAGATATAAAGATTTTGTGATGTTGACATATGAAGAAGCAATCAAAGGACCAGATAAAAAGAATTGGCTACAAGCAATTGAGGATGAGAAAAACTCCCTAATTGAGAATGAAACGTGGGAAGTGGTTGACAAGAAGCAAGCACTAAACAAGAAGATCCTAAGTAACAAGTGGGTATTAACAAGAAAGGATAACGGAAAATACAAAGCGAGACTAGTTGTAAGAGGTTTTGCCCAAGAACAAGGTATAGACTATGATGAAACCTACAGCCCAGTTGTAAGTAATTCAACTTTACGTTTGTTATTTTCATTAGCTGCCAAACAAAATCTCAAACTAATGCAATTTGATGTTAAAACTGCTTTTCTCTATGGAAATTTAGATGAAGAAATTTATATGTGTGTACCTGAAGGGTTTGATCATAAAGATAAAGTTTTAAAATTAAGAAAGACTTTATATGGACTTAAACAAGCTCCATTTAAATGGAACCAGTTGTTTACAAACTGCTTACTAAAATATGGCTTAAAACAAACTCAGTCTGACCGTTGTGTTTTTACAAATGGCAGTATTCATCTTGCTATATTTGTTGATGATGGAATTCTTGCTGGTTCAGATGAAAGAGAGATGAAGAAACTTTTGAACAAGCTGTCTAGAGATTTTAAAATAAAAACAGACGAAAACCCATCAAACTTTCTTGGAATGGAAATTTTATATTCAAGGGAAGGGATATTGTTAACACAAAAGAACTATTCAAACAGTATTCTCGAAAAATATGGAATGATAGATTGTAAACCTGTAGACACTCCCATTTGTCCAGTGAAAACGAGCAAACCTGATGAAGAAGTAAGCTGCCTGACAAAAGATTATCCTTACAGAGAAGTTGTAGGAAGTTTGCTGTACTTATCCAATAAAACCAGACCTGATCTTACACTTGCTGTGGGATTAGAAAGTAGATGTGTTGAGAATCCAATCAATGAAGATGTTGTAAA